GTTGTGGCTTTAGCACAAGAGCAGTGGCATTAGCACAAGAGCAATAGCTTTAGACAGCAGGGGAATGGTCTGTAGATTATTTTTATTTTCTTTAGCTGGAACAGAGGGAGGAACCTGGATCAGCAAGGGAAGGTAGGTGACAAGATGTGTCATATAAGGGACAGCAGTTAGAACCACAGGTTCAAGGATCTTAGTGATGAGTTGAGAACTGAAGAGGTAAGTGAGGTCAGGATGATCCTAAGGCTGAGAAAAAATAGGGTGTTATCAGTTTCTCAGCAAGAAGTCTGGAAAGATTAAGAACACCACCAAAACCAGAAGAAAAGTGCAAGTATATGATCACACTACAGCCATTGAGCACCAAATTAGGTGCTTGAAATGGTGAAAAATTTTTTCTCTCTTCTGGTGCTGGACAGAAGCTTGTATGATGTGTATGATACATGTGTAGGAGACAGGAGAAGGAGGAGGAGCTCTTCCATCTCCTGCAGCTCTGGGTGTGAGATTGCCAACTAATGTGGTGCAAAGAAGGAACAACTGGTGTTCGATTTGATGTGATCCAGCACAGTTCCAGGACTATACAGCCACATTGCATTCAAACCAGCAGTGAAGTTTGCACCAGTTGCTGGTCTTTGGTGCATATGAGACACACATAGTGCAGTAACTGCTGGAAGAGCTTGCATCCACATTGCAAGCAGAGTGTAACAGCTTGTTTCCTGTGCACAATTTCAACCACATATCCACGTGAAGAGATGCTGCTTTGAGTGCCATTGGTGCCCTCGAGGACGCAGCATAAGACTCCAAACGTAGTCACAGTGCATGCTCAGTGCTAGCTACATCTGTATCATTTGAATGCTCAGGTCTGTTCCACGTCCTTTTCTGGGCAGGAAGGAGCTTTTGCGTAATCACTTGGTTCACTTAATGATGCTAAGGTATAAGCAAAGACAGCTCATTAGCCACTTGACACAAGAGCAACCAAGCTCAGCGTGAAAGTCCTGACAGCTACTAGGCGGAAAGTCTCAAAGGCAGGGGGACACTGTCTGAGCAGAGAAACACATGATCAGCTCTTTGTCTGTCTCCGATGTGGCCAAGGGCCAGACTGCGGGCAGCTCACAACCCCAAACTCATTCTACATCCTCACACTACAGGTCTGAGCATCAAAAAATGTGATTTCAAGATCACAATGAACAACAATAACCACCACACAGAAGAAATCAGCACTGAAAGGCTTTTGGTGAGGCGCGGGCAGCCATTCACTATCACTGTGAGCTTCTCAGCTCCAATACACAGCTACCTGCAGCAGCTGAAGAAGACCTTCCTCATAGTACAGACAGGTAATGCCATTAACTATACCTGTAAGAACTCTGGTCCTCCACCCACATGAAGAACAGAGCTGGTGGCAAAAGCCATCTCCAGAGCTAGACAGAGGTGCCCACATCTAGAAGTGAGGCCAGTGAATTGTTTATCTAAGGCAGAGCAGAGTCTCCTGCTGCTGAGACTGCAGGGACAGAACTAGATCTCTTTCCAGAAGAGATGCTGCAGCACAATAACCAATGCAGGTTCACTACTCTATGATTTGAAAGCACTCATGGGATCTCTCCTGGCTTTTGCTTTAGGAATGTTCAAACTTAACTAGCCTGTTACAGATGTTTTCTAGTGAGATCCCTGAGAAGGGCGGCAGCATAGAGCCCCAGCTTGTTTTACCATAATCTGTGCACTTTGCTGTTACTTTTGTTACAAGGCACTGAATCCCAGCAGCAGCAGGTCTGCACCATTCTGGCTGTTCCTGGTTTCTACAAAATACACATCCCACTCTCAAACATGGAGGCCTGAGTGCACCACTAACCACAGGAAGATTCACTAGGCATTAAGCTGCTAAAGAGTAAACACTCTCTCACAAGAAAGGACAGCTATGGCGCCAGATATAGACAATGTCCCTGCAATCTGCATGGGGTGAGGATGCACGTCTGGAATAGACACAATCAGATTTCTTTGACTACAGGATCACATCCTTCCAAAGCAGATGGAACCCAGGTTGAATTTCCCATCTCCAGCCTGGGAGACCAGAAGCAGTGGAGCGCAGTACTGGAAGAACAGGACCCATGCTTCTGGACCATCTCTGTGAATACGCCTGCCAGTGCTCCCATTGGCCAGTACACTCTGCTTTTACATGCCTCCAAGTCTTACTGTCTCCTGGGCTACTTCATCCTTCTCTTTAATCCCTGGTGCCAAGGTACGTGGTCAAATCCAGAAAGGCAGGCAGGGATCAGTCACTTCAACAAAAGAGCTTTTGAAACTCTGGCACTCTGTCTCCATGGAGGTTGAGGCTGACTCACCTAGTGCTCCCCTGGCCACTCCTGCCCTGCTGCTCACAGCACCTTAGGAAGGAGGTAAGGGCTAATAAAACCTCAAAGCTGCCTGCCTCAGCACTTCTGCCCTGTTCCTGGAGTACTACACTGCCAGAGCCCTATCCTCCCACTAAGCGAAAAATGTTTGATAAAATGTTTCCTATAATAAAGAATTTAAGATGAGTCAAGATTATAACTGGTCTGATTAAGGCCACTGTGTCTTTCTCTGGAATAGAGAAGTCAAGAGCCAGGAAAGTAAAAGAGCTAACTAGTGTGATAGTAGAGGAACTTTTTGAACAAGGAAACAGAGATGACAATGAAATTCTTCTTTCCTGTCTGATTCAGAATCTGTGGTATTTTTCCAGGGCAAAATGCCAGGGACTGCCAAAGTCCCTGGAGTGCAGTGGAGTCTGCTGATGTAAGAGAAATGCAAGTGCATCTGAGACCAGAAATGCTTTCTTCCTGATGCTTTTTTCCTGATGTATTTTTTCCTCTAACCTAGATGATGAGGTGTTCTTGGCTAATGAGGCACAGCGGCAGGAGTATATTTTAAACCAAGACGGTGTCATCTACTGGGGGACTGAAAATGCAATCCTAGCACAACCCTGGGACTTCAATCAGGTAAGCAAGAGGTCCAGTATGTATGCGCGCTCTTACAGCCACCAGCAGAGGAAGGGTGCATATCTCCTGTGTGTACAGGATGCTATCCATTTCCATACTGTGGCTTTGATGACAACTTGATCTCTGCACTCACTGTCTTTGCCTAAGACTGTGCAGAAGAACAGGGACCTGTGTATGAATTCCCATAGCCTAGTATATGTAATTTTAGGTACCTTCTCAGGCTATCCTCTATGAAGAAATGCATTGATCTATATCTGGGCTTTGTGTGCCTTCCTTTCATCAACAGATATAAAAGCATTTAACAGAGCTTAGTAATACTATCTCTATTTCACAGGTAAAGGGAGGACAAGTATATCTTCCAATTTGCCCAAGGCCATCTGGCACAGCCAGTGATTAGAACGGGATTTTATTCCGCTTTAGTGCCACTGGATCACAAAAGTATCTCTGTGCCAACCTAGGGAGTGCTCCAGAAAAGCATCAATTTCCCTCAATCAGGGGATGCAGTATAATGCTAATGCGTTTCCCACCTTGCTTCAATAAAGCTGTATGTCGGCCTTTAGCTTGTTGTGCTCCCCCTCCAAATCTCCGTCTGGAGTTCTCCTCCACAGCCCACTTAATAAGCCTGTAAGTAGAAAGGGAGAAATAATCTGCAGTTACAAACCCTTGCAGCAACTCCAGAGAACACGTATTTGTCCTCAAATTTTGCTCAGAGGCCAAATTGTCTGAAATGATGTGTTCTTGTTTCAGTTTGAGAAAGATATTGTTGACATCTGCTTCACACTGCTGGATGTAGGTGAACGCAATCAACGAGACAAGGATCACACCCAGCGCAAGAGCCCTATTTATATCTGCCGCACAGTTGCAGCCATGGTAAGGAGGGCAGACAGCAGCCCTGACCTTAGCAGAGAAGACATGAATGCAGAGCAAAGGCTAGCAGGCTAGCATCTTCTCAATCCCAGTTTATGGCAACCCACTGATCAAAGAGGAAGCCTGCCCAGGGCTGTTCCAAACAACACCTCCTGCCCATCTCCAGCCCTTCCTCATATTCCTGCAGCAGACAGGTAGTGCTGCAGGAGCTTCTTAGCAGTGACAGTACACTTACTGAATAAATCTCAGGGGAGACTGTTGCATCTGTTCTGCTCAGCCATGACTTCCACGCTTTGCACAAAAAATCCTTTTCTTTTGTCCGCCTTGGGAGTAGTTTCATCAAACAGGATGAGGTGTGCCTACCAAAGAGAGGCAATTTCTTAATCCATCTTTCTCTCCTGCTTCCCTGCAGCTGAACTGCGATGAGTTTAGAGGAATCCTGACAGAATGCGGGACCCGGCAGTACTATAACGGGACACCTCCTTCCAAGTGGCTGGGGAGGACAGTGGGTTGCATCACAATGCAAGCCTGTCCGCTATGGGCAGTGCTGGGTGTTTGCTGCAGTCATGTGTTCAGGTACAGTGGTGGTCAGACTTTTGTATTGAGCAAAGCCTTATTTGGTCTGCAGAATCTCTAGCATATGCCTCAATTCCTGGATTAACACAGATCCCAGTAACATAACCTTTAATTGTTAGGTGAGAGGCAGATTGTCAGAGTTTCCTCATCAAAATTCAGCATCGCTAGCTTTGAGATAAAAGAGTGTCAGTACACACCATTCACTGAACGCACCTATGATAGCTTCTTTCCTGAGAGGGCAATGCCTCTTGCAAAGTCCAAACAGCAGGCCTGGTGCCATTCCTAACAGGTCTAGCTACTAAAAAGGGTCTACATCTATCAGCAGAGGCAACCTTAGGGGCGGATGCACAACTGATTCACAGCTCTTTCTTCTGCACAGTTCTGAGGTGCCTGGGAATTCCTACCAGGGTGGTCACAGGCTTTACATGGGCTCACAACACTAACGGCAGCCTGAGTGTGGATGAGTATTATGACGAAGATGGAACACTGCTTACACAAGACAAGAGTGCCCGTGTGTGGTAAGAAAACATGGCAGAACTCAAGCAAGAATTTGAGACAATACCTTGATCTAGGAAGTGATAGAGGGGGGTGAAGAAAAAGGTACAGGGAGGTCGATAGGAGACAGCTCAGCTGAGATCCTGTCTACAGGGCCTGCTCTTGAGAAATGGCCACAATCCAAACCAAAGAGTGCCCTATTACTAGGGCCCACAAGGGAAGAACAATAGCCCGGTTCGGCTGGAGAAACTCCACTTGTGTCAAAAACCATGGCTTCTGCTCTCCTCCACATGCACTGAGATATTTCAAAGGAGCATTCATTGGCTATGGTTTGACTAAAACTTTACTGTACCTCAGGGCTCAGTCCCTTGGTATAAGCATATGATGTTGTCTCTTGCAGGACCTTTCACGTTTGGAATGAATGCTGGATGGCTCGAGTAGGCTTGTTACCAGAGTACAGTGGGTGGCAGGCACTGGATGCCACCTGCCAGGAAAAAAGCAAAGGTAAGATATCAAAGATGAGGTTGGGGGGTGTCGTGGTTTAACCGAGCAGGCAACTAAACGCCACACAGCCGCTTGCTCAGCATCCTCCACCTCCTGGGGAATGGGGAAGAAAATTGAAGGGGAAAAGGGAAGAAGACTCGTGAGTGAAGAAAAATTTAATGATAATACTATAAAATTAAAAGTACCAGTGATAAAATAATAATAGTAATAAAATATTTTTAAAAAATATATAGTGATAATAATATATACAAACAAATCATGCACAATGTAATTGCTCACCACTCGGTAACCAATGCCTGTCCCGTCCCAGCAAGCGATC